GCAATGGGGTTAATTGACTTGCTCAGGGTCACACAGCTTTTAAGTGTCAAGTATATGAGGCCAAATTTGAACTCAGTTCCTCCTGACTCCAGGGCCAGTGCTTTATCCACTATACCACCTAGTGGTCCCATGCATGCTCAATTCTTGACCTGCCTTTTCTCTATTTTATTGATGTAAGCATTTAGAGATACGCAATTTTCCCTAAGCACTACTTTGGCTATATCCTATAACTTGTGATATGTTGTTTTATTGTTATTCTCATTAATGTAAATTTTTTATTGTTTCGATGATTTGTTCTTTACCCAACTCATTCCTTAAGATTTGATAATTTACTTTCCAATTGATTTGTAATTTATATTTCTATGGTCACTTGTTGAATGTAATTTTTGTTATATTGTGGTCTGAAAGTGGTTCATTTAATATTTCTGCTTTTCTGCCTTTGTGAGGTTTTGTGCCCTAATATGTGGTCAAATTTTGTGGAAGTGCCATGTATGGCTTAGAAAAAGATGTACTACTATTTTATTTCTCTAGAGGTCTGTCATATCCAACTTTTATAAAATTCTATTCATCTCCTTAATTTTTGTCTCATTTATTTTATGGTTAGATTTATCTAATTCTGAGAGGGGAAATTTAGGGCTCCCCAATATTATATTTTTACTGTTTATTTCTTCCTGTAACTCATTTAGCTTTTCCTTTAAGAATCTGGATGTGACACCATTTGGGGCATAAATGATTAATATTGATATTACTTTATTGTCTATGATAACTTTTTAGTAAAATACAGTTTCCCTGGTTTTCATTGGGTCTATTTTTGCCTTTGGTTTGTCTGAGATCCTGATTGCTACCCTTGCTGAAGCAAATTAGGTTATGCTCCAGCCCCTTATTTTGTGTGCGAGTTTGTTTCAAGTCTGCTTTTTGTAAACCACATATTTTTGGATTCTCATTTTGAATCCATTTTTGCTATTTACTTCTAATTTATGGGTGAACTCATCCTATTGACATTCAGTTATGATTACTCTGTATTTCCCTTTATCCTATTTTCTTCTGTTTGTTCTTCTGCCTTTTTATCATTTCCTTCCTCAAAAATCTATTTTGCTTCTAACTACTGCCTCCCTTAGTCTGTCCTCCCTTTTATCATCATGATAAGATTATACTGGATAAAATCTATTTTTACACACAACTGAGTATGTACATATATTTATTTCTGAACCAGATCTGAAGAAAGTGAGGTTCAGTATTGCTTGTTTATCCCCCATTTCCTTCTCTACTGTAAAAGCTCTTCCTTGTACTTTAATGTGAGAAACATTCTCCATCCTACCTCTCCCCTACTCCTTCTCAAAGTGCATCCCTCTTTCTAACACCTTCATTTTTTTAAGAGACCACTCCAACATAATTAACTCACATCCAAGCCCTCTATCTATGTAAACTCTTTTTAACTGTCTTAATAATGATAAGGTTGTAAGGAGTTAAATGTGTCATCTTCACACATATGAATGCACACAGTTTAACTTTATTACATCACTTATGTTTTCTCTTTCCTGTTTACTTTTTTGTGCCCTCTTGAGAGTCCTCTATTTTGTTAAATATATATTTTCTCCTGAAGGAGTATACTTAGTTTTACTGGATAATTTATTCTTGTTTGTCATCCTAGGTCTTTTGCCTTCTAGAATATCATATCCCAAGCCCTGCATTCCTTGAAAGTAGTAATTGCTAAGTCTTGTGTGATCCTGACTATGGTGCCATCATATTGTAATATTTTTCTGTCTGCTTAAAGTATTCTCTCTGACCTAGGAGCTCTGCGATTTGGCTCTAATATTCTTGGGAGTTTTCATTTTAGGATCTCTTTCAGGAGGTGCTCAGTGGATTCTTTCAACATCTATTTCAACCTTCTAGATCTATGATATTGGGGCAGTTTTCTATGATAATTTCTTCAGATATAATATCTAGGCTCTTTCTTTGATCATGGCTTTCATTTAGTATAATAATTCTTAAGTGATTTCTCTTTGATCTATTTTCCAGGTCAGTTGTTTTCCTGATGAGGAACTTTACATTTTCTTTTCTTTTTTTAAATTCTTTTGACTTGTTTTATTGTTTCATGATGTTTCATGAAGTCATCAGCTTCTACTTGCCCAATTCTATTATTTAAGGAATTATTTTCTTTAGCGAGTTTTTATACCTTTTTTTTTCCATTTGATCAATTCTATTTTTAAGGATTTTTTGAGTCTTTTCATGCCTTTTTTTTACTAAGCTGTTGACTCTGTTTCATATTTTTCTTGCATCACTCTCATTTCTTTCCCCAGTTTTTCCTCTACTTCTCTCATCTGATTTTTAAAATCTTCTTTTTTTAAGCTCTCCTAGGCATTCTTGTTGGTCTTAAGTCCAATTCACAGTTTTTCTTTGTGGCTTTGCTTTTAATTTCTTTTTATATCAATGTCTTCTGAGTTTGTGTCTTGATCTTCTCTGTCACCATAGTAGATTTTTAATGGTTTGGTTCTTTTTTAATTATTATTATTGTTTGCTTACTTTCAAGCCTATGTCTTGACTTTAAGCTTTATGTTAAAGTTAGGTTCTGTTCCTTGGTTGGAAAGGGCATTCTCCCAAGCTTCAGTTTTTTTAAAATGTGCTTCTATTTTCAGAGCTAGTTCTGGAATTCTGTAAGGTTTTGTGCTTCCAGATTGGTCTGATTGAAGCAGAGGTGTGGTCTCTGCTCTTCTGGCCTATGCTCTGGTATTTAACTAGGAATGGATCTTGCTCCCCTGCAGCCACAAGTGCTAGTGTTGTTCTTGGACCTGGAACTATAAAAATATTCCCTGCTTTCCTGCCATCAAAAGTGCTAGTGTTTCTTTCTACCTTGTAGCTGAGACAAAGATCCTTTACTTCATTGTGAACAATTATAAGCATTCTTCTCCACCCTGGAGCTGTGGCCAGGGGCCCTGCTCCCTTGAGGCCACAACAGCTAATGCTCCTTTTTACCAACTTATTTCTACCCCAAATAGTTTTTGAATTTTAATGTAACTGTGACATGGAAATATATAGAGACAATGCAACAGAGTCCTCCACCTATTGCCAGCAATGCTCCCCTATAATTTCTTTCTGACCAATTGTCTGACCCCTTTACTGTTCCCAAACCTGCTTTTACCTTGTTGCAGCTGCCTCCAAATTCTGTTGCCATTGTGACTGCTCTGTGTGTCGTGCTCAGACAAGATAGTACTCTGGTGTCTCAGACCTCTCCTGATCACCTCCTAACTTGTCAGGCTGGAAAAAATGTCTCACTGGACTTTTTCTTGGCCATGCCACTTCAGAATTCAATTTGAAGGATTATTTAATATTACTTAGCGGGAGATATTGAGTTTTATTGAGTTGCTGCCTGTACTCTGGCATCTTGGCTCCACCTCCTGATCCAAACTACTTTTCATAAATATCAAGACATTTTAATTTTCAATAAGGCAAACACTGGTAGCTCTAATCCACATAAAGAAAAACTCCTTGGAGGTCAACAGTGTTTCTGAAGGCTGCAAAGGCATTCTGAGACCACAATGTTTAAAAGTGCTGCCCTTGGTGGTCTGAGATTTGTTCTAGCTCTCTCTGTGTGATCTGTTGCCCCTCATGATCTTTGAAGTTCTCTCTTAACACTAAGTTCCTGTGGTAGGTAGTACTTAGCATACTCCTCTAAGGTGTTTGGCTGAACTTTGGATGAGTAGCAAGCTTAGATCCATAAACTCTAGTTTTGAGGTTAATGAAAAGAGATAAATCACATTCTCTTCTGTTAAAGTAAAATATTCTAGAAAGTGGAGTCTTCCTTATCTACTTCATGGGGATGTTTTGCAGCTTCAGTCATACCCATATATTTACATATTATATTTTTGATCCCATAGACTGACCCTAGTACTACTCAGAGAAAGGAGACATACCCAGCTTGGTGTTTAAAATGAATAAATGGCAAGTTTCTCGGGTTGAGTGTGTGGATTTTTCTTTTTGTTTTTGTTTTAGTGGAACAAGACTGGGCAGTATAGAAAACATTCAAAACAACAGCTAAGAGGAATCTTCAATTAAATGCTCAATAGTGAGAACTATGATTTATGTAGTACTCTAAGGCAGAGGTGTCAAAATTCCCAGAGTGAGGACCAACAAGATTAAAATGTAATTGGAAAATATTTAATAAGAAATACAAATAAGCTACAACATAAATAAGGTTAATTAGGGGTTTTCTAAGTCAATGTGTGGCCCATTTGAATTCAACACCACTATTCTAAAGTAAGCTAACTTGGTACCATGATAAGATGTCTAGCTTTCCAGCTCCAGATCTCTGATGTAAAATTTAATAGTATCCCAATTTCAGATGAAAAAACCAAGGCTCAAAGAGGTCATGTTTATTTGTTTAAGGTCACAGAGCTTAAAAGTGTCGGAGCTGCAACTCAGAACCAGAGTCTTCAGATTCTAAGGCCAGTGTTAGGTGCTGTTTCTCTTTTTTCTATACTATTCACGATAGTCTTTTTCTTATCTGTATCTCCAGTGCTTATCACAGTGCCTGGCACATAGTAGATACTTAATAAATGTTTATTAGACTTAATAGGAAGAAGCAATAGAAATAATATATAGTCCTTGTCTTCAAGGAGGAAAGGTAGTCAAAGGCAAAACAGTGGGAAAAAGGTATAGTGTGAAACAGAAGAAAAAAGAGTGGTTAAAGAAAAGAAGGTACATGTTGAAGAAGTGATATCACTTAGAGTTAGAAGGTATTGGTTAGGAAGTGAATTTTACATTAATCTCACTTGGGACAGGTGCTAATGTTATTTTGAATATGTGTTTTCACCAGTTAGCAACAATTCTAATTTTGTATACATGCACTCCCACTTATTTCTACCCCAAATAGGTTTTGAATTTTAATGTAAATATCTACATTTTGTTTCTGCTAAAATTCAGCTCACTCATTTATACCACACTAGGGAGCCTCTCCTTTGGAAGACATCCACTGGTGGATCCAAGAGGCATCTTCTGGGCAAATGACAGTGAGCAATGAAACAGTGGTGACTGAGTTTATCCTGCAGGATTTCTCTGAGGCACATCCACTTCAGCTTGCCCTCTTCTGCATCTTCTTCTTCCTTTATATCATGGCCCTAACAGGCAATGCTCTCATTGTGGTGGCCATAAGCCTAGATTCAGGTCTCCATACTCCCATGTATTTTTTCCTTGCCAACCTGGCCATCTTAGATATTGGCTGCACAACCACAGTTCTGCCTAAATTGCTAGAGAACTTTGCAGACAAGAAATCCATCCCCTATGTTGGGTGCATGACTCAGTTGTATTTCCTTACATGGTTTTTGGGTGCTGAACTGCTGCTCTTCACAGCCATGGCTTATGACAGATATGTGGCCATCTGCCACCCCCTCCATTACACTACCATGATGAGCAGAATGGTTTGCATCCTCTTAGCTGGTAGTGTGTGGGCCATTAGTGCCATCAGCTCATCAGTACACACTGGCCTTATGATACAGTTAACCTTCTGTGGCCCAAATAAAATTAAGCACTTTTTATGTGAAATCCCCACTTTGCTATTGCTCTCCTGCACCTCCACACACCTGAATAATATCATGATCGTCATTGCAGACATATACTTTGGGGTGATTAATTTTGTGCTCACTATGGTGTCCTATGGCTTCATCATTTCCAGCATTCTGAAGATCCGTACCACAGAGGGCAAGAAGAAAGCCTTCTCTACCTGTTCCTCCCACCTCATCGTGGTCACCATATATTACACCACAGTTATATACACATACATTCTCCCAGGCTCTGGATCTTCCATGGATAATGGCAAAGTAGTGGCTGTCCTATACACCACTATCAGCCCCACTTTAAACCCTCTCATTTACACTCTCCGTAACAAGGATTTCAAAACAGCCCTCAAGAAAATGTTTCCATTAATTAAATAAATAATTATAATCTGTCCACGTGGCTTGGCTGTAATTTTATGTTGGAAATTCCAGTATAAAAATATGGTGTAAATGCAATTTAGGTTCTATAACCTTAGTTATTGGATTTATAGAATGATTTTCACTCAGAATCTCTGAGCTAGAATGGATCTCTTTGACTAACTTGAGCCTCATCACACTTCTGTTCTACTCTCAACTTCTTTATTTTAGTTTTGGGCCACACAGCACCCTCTCAGTCACTGTACGTTACCTTTGTCCTCTTACCATTCATTCACAATGAATCTGTTGCCAACTAAATTCTGTTGATCTTTACTCCACAATATCTCTCGTACCATTTCCCTTCTCTTTACTCAAATCACACGTCCCAGGTCGTGTCCCCCTCATTCATATCATTTAAAGTATATCCCAGTACTCTATTTGTCTCTAATGTCTTGCTCCCTTCTTCTATGCAACCTATTCTTCATATATAGCTCTCCTAAAGTCTAAGTTTTAACCATGCCATTTTCCTATCAAACAGTTTTAGAAGATCCTTATGACAAATAGAAAACAAGAAAACAATATATTTTATCTTCAAGCTTGAGGTTCTTTCCAATCTCACTATCTAAAACCATATGTTTTTATCCTTGTTTTACATTATTCCTTTATGCACATTCTATTTTCCAGCCAATCTGGGCTGCTGGCTTTGTGTTAAAGGCAAATGGAGAGACCACTGGAATTGAAGTTAGGAAAGCCTGAGTTTGAATCCTACCTCAGATATCTATTAGCTACATGACCCAGACAATTCATTCAACTTCTGTCAACTTCAGTATTTTTTATTTTGTTTTATTTTTAGGCAATTGGAGTTAAGTGACTTGCCCAGGGTCGCACAGCTAGTGTCTGAGGCCAGATTTGAACTCAGGTCCTCCTGACTCCAAGGCTGGCACTCTATCCACCACACCACCTAGCAGCCCCTATCAATTTCAGTATGTTTGTATGTGAAATAAGGATAATAATATTGCCTTTCTTACTGGATCATTGTGAAGATTGTGAGATAACAGACATGTAAAGGGCCTTTTAAATCTAAAAGAGCTACGTCAATATTAGCTACTATTTTCACACTTAATGAATAGCTAGGCAGAAAGTACTGGATTTGGAACCAAATATATAGATTCACATCCTAGCTCTTCTACTTAGTACTTGTATGACTTTGAGCAAATCTTATCATCTCCCTGAATCTCAGTTTTCTCGGCTATAAAATGAGAGTCTTGGAATAGATGATCTTTGAGGTTTTTCAGGTATAAACTAATGATGCTATGATCTCTTTCAGCTCTAAGTTTATGGTAACTCTAATTTCATAAATTTACACAAATAGTTCCAAATGCCTGAAATTCACTTCCTCCTCATCTCTGGTTTTCTAAATTCCTCTTTCCTTTCTCAACTCAGCATGAACTCAGATGTCATTGTCCCCTAAACATCTTCCCTGATTCCCTTTAGCTGAAAGCATTCTCTCCTTCCCAATTTTTTAAAAAAATATATATTTCCTTAAATTTTTTTTAGTTATATGCAAACTTTTTAACATTCATTTTTTTAAAAAATCTGAGTTCCAAATTCTCCTCCTCTCTTTCTCCCTTTCTCCTTGAGAAGGCAAGGAATTTGATATAAATTATGCAAGTGAATTCATGCAAAATGTATTTCCATATTAGCCATGTTATAAAAGAGAACGTACATATACATAAAAAAATAAAGTAAAACAAAGTTTGCCACAATTTTCACTCAGAACTCCTCAGTTCTCTCTGGAGGTGGATAGCATTTTTCACCACGCAGGTACATTGGAATTGTTTTTGATAAGGGGTGGGGAACCCATGCCTTAAGGCCTCACATAGTCCTCTAGGTCCTCAAATGTGGCCCTTTGACAATCCAAACTTGTTCTAATGGGACTTTAATAGGCTTGATTTCTTTTTTGTGAAAATTGGTTCTTCATATCATTTGACCACTTATTAATTAGAGAATGACTCTTGTTTTTATAATTTTGGCTCCATTTCTAAAATATTTGGGAAATGAGCCCTTTATCAGAGAAACTTCCTATAAATTTTCCCCACTTTCCTGGTTTCTGTCTAATTTTTGCCACATTACTTTTATTTATACAAAATCTTTTAAATTTCATTTGATTAAAATTATCCATTACTCTTCCCATGATCCTCTCTGTCACTTGTTTGGTCATAAACTCTTCTCTTATCCATATATCTAACAGATACATTTTCCATGTTCTCTTAATTTACTTAGTAATATTACTTTGTAATATAGTCTGAAATCAGTACTACTAACTTTTCTTCAAAATCTTTTGTCTGGATTTCTTCTCTTCATCCATTGCATTCTATATTGTGTTACATTTATCTCTGCATATATTTTCTCCTTAATGGAATGTAAGCTTTTGCCTTGAGGGCAAGGATTTTTGTACCTTATGAGTAGCAAGGTGATTAAAAACTGTCATTAAATTAGAAATAAAGAAAAGTAATAGCTGTGGGAAAATAAGCACATTAGTACACTATTGGTGGAGCTATGCATTGGTTCAGCCATTCTGATATGCAATTTGGAACTATTCCTCCAAAGTCACTAAAATGCATAGGTTTTGACCCAATTATATCATATCCCTCAAAAAGATAAAAAAAAGAGGAAAAGAACTTACATATATAAAACTATTTATAGCAGTACTTTTGGTGGTGGTAAAGAACCGGGAACTAAGGCAGTAAATATCAACTGGAAAGAAGAAATTGTGGCATATGAATGTAATGAAATACCCCGGTGCCATAAAAATGACAAAAGGTATGGTTTCAAAGAAGCTGCAAAAGACTTGAATGAAGTGATGCAGAATGAGTAGAACAATTTCTAAAATAACAACATTGTAAAAAACCAACTTTCAAAGACTTAAGAACTCTGATGAATGCAATGACCAGCCATGATTTTAGAGGACTGACAATGAAGAATGCTATCCACCACCCAACAAACAGTAGGCAAACTAAATAGACAGAATAAGACACACAATTTCGGACATGGAAAGTGAAGGAATTTTTATTGCTTGAATTTTCAGATTCATTCAAGAATTTTTTTCCTTTACTAGTGGGTAGAGTAGGAGGGAAAGAAGAAAATAACTGTTAACTGAAATAATAGTAAAAATTAATAATAAAACATATTGTTAGTGATTTTAAATAGTAATTGGGTAAACAAATTCAAAGTATAAGCTTCTAAAATGATCCATATTCATCTGACCATTTTTCTTTTACAATGTAGATGCTCTATTCACATTGGAATTTCCAAATATTAGCATTCAATGTAAAGACAAAGATGACTTGAGCCCAATCTAGTAGATAATTTACCAAAAGACCTGTCAAGAAACATCAATTAAATAGAAAAATATTTAATTGAGATGTATTAGCAAAGTAATTAGCCAGGAAAAGTCAAGCAATGAAATTTTTCTCAGCCACTCCGTATCAGTAGAAGAATTTTCCAGATGGTAAATTTCCAGAAAATTAATGCTTTAAGGTAAGGTTGCATTTACATTTCTGTACAACCTTCCTTGTATCCTGGATAGAAGATTTCTCCTTCAAGGATCTCTAAATTCTTCTCTAAGGAACTGACTGTGTTTCCCTTCTATTCTCTTCCTCTTCCACACCTTTGGCACCATCTGTAAACTGCCTTGTGATTACTATTTTGCCCCATCTGCATTTGGCTGTCATTGAGTCACTCCATTTCTGTAGTTGGGTCCACAGATGGTCTTCTAGTGCCTCTATTTTCATTTTTATTCTCACCATCTATTGAAATTCTACCTTGCTGTTTCTGTCATTTCTGATTTGAGGGTGTGTGTCTGGTTTCCTGGGGAGAACTCATGTCAACACACTTTAAGACCTTTTTAGAGCACAATTGGAACACAAAATTCCTGCCCAGGCAACTCTAAGAATTGCCAACTTGTTTTTCTCAACAGAGAGAAACATTGCTTTATTCAAAGCAATATGTGGGTGACTGAATTCTATTCATCTCTTCCCTTCTTTGGGATTCAGGAAATATGCCTATTACTTCTCCAACTCTGTTTCTCTATGGCTGTGTAATAAAACCTTAGAGACCATCCAACCAACTTATTCAACACCTGTTATGTTTTAGGTACTGTACTAGGCACAGGGAATGCAACTACAGAATCAACACAGTCCCTGCCCCTGAGACTCAGAGAAAGGAAGGAATTTACTGAAGCTCACAAAGCCAGCTAGTGGCTAAACAAGGGCTGGACCACGCACCTTTCATTCATTCTGCCCCCTATTACCTTGCAATTCCTCTCAAGACCACAGCTGATAAAGAATGAACATCAGGATAGTGATGCTTATAAAGAGTTCTTTTGGAATTCAGGATCATATAGCAGTAAGCATTGGATAAGGAGGCAGGAAGCCTGGCTTCTAACTCCATCTCTGCAACTGATTTACTCCATGTCTTTAATCAACTCACTTTTACTCCCTGTATCTCAGTCTCCTTATCTGTAAAGTGAGTGGAAGCTAGATGATCACTAAGAATTCTTCCTGTGCTAAAGTTCTAACAACGACTTTAGGAATTTTTCTCCTGAAGGCCTGACCTAGAATTGAGTTTATACCCCAACAGTAGTCACAACACCATCACCATCAGCTAATTGCTCCTTCAGGGTCCTTCCCACAGAAACCTGATTAAGAGAATCCTTTGTGGCCAGTGTGAATCTATCCCCTTCAGACACTGCTATTTTCTTAAAAGCCAGTTCATTCTTTCCTTTCTCAAGAATTGCCCTGCAGTTGGTCAGAGATCTTAGCATTATCATATATTTGCATGTCATTGGTCCTGAATAGTCTAAAATGATCCCCCAGTCCCAACTTTTCTAAAGGCAAGGCTCAAGGTTAACATCTAGGAGACTGCAAGAGAACTGCCTCCATTTGACAGTATTGATGGAAGAGTTCCAGGTGAGCACCAACCTCATGGCTATCGGATTGTATGGGATTTACTCAACAAAA